CATCATTCTGAGAGTGGAAAAGGATTTATTCACCTCACTGTCAAGCATGGAACTTTTTGGTGCTTGGTAACCAAAGCATGACTCATCTCTCTCTCTCTATACTCTATATTATAATAGTGATAATAAGTAATAGCTAATGACGCCCGAGGTACCATATACTATATATCAATACACGTATACTACTACCTACTCAGACTAATATATATTATATACGCTTTATCTCCAATACTACGTAGTGTAATACTACTATATATAAATATATATACGCCCGGCGTCGGCTCACGAGTCGCACCCGCCTCGCTATCTTATTATGAGTAAATTACTATAGTAATGCTTGTACAATATAAATTTTGTTAAATGCTTGGTAGTGATGTGTACATTATCCTATCCACTCACTCTACACATATGTGTAGATTTATCTACTGCATATTTTTGAATGAGTGGCAGGGGGGTTGTATACTCACTACTAAAGCCATTATGACTTTTTGGTGCATGGTACCTTAAGCATACCCATATTTTCTCTCTCCTCTCTGTCTCTCTCTGTCTCTCTCTCTCTCTTATACTTATCTGTATACTAACTCTATACACTACGTATTATACACATATCAGTATATATATAAGCCTACGTACAGCGCTATTATAGTACTATCCATACGTATTAGTACTATATACGTTACGATATATATATATTGATCATTTTATAATGAGTATATTGAATTATATAATATAATATATTATATATATATATATATATATATATATAATATATATAGTAATCACAGTGATGAGTTACATTGTGGATGATCCGCTCCATTGAACTTGATCTACATATTCTAAAACCCCACACACCAAGTTTGGGCGTGCAACCCGTCATCGTTTGACCCTCATCCATCGTATCAATTTAATGGTTTCGAATGAATAGAACTTTTCACATGGCTCGACGGAGCGGTCAAACGACGATGGGTTCACCCCCAAACTTGATGTGTTGGGGTTTTAGATTATGTAGATCAAGTTCAACGGAGCGGATCATCCACAATGTAAACTCAATCATGTGATTTTAGGTCGCGTCCTTAGATGGTTATCTAAGGCGTCACCTTAGAAACACTTTTCCATATATATATATATATATAATATATATATATATATATATATATATATATATATATATATATATATATATATATATATATATATATTATATATATATATATATATATATATATATATATATTTATAAATTACATAATTACAATTGATTAATAATATAATTTTTTTATCAAAATTGTGTTTATTTTTGCTTTGTATTCTTGAAAATTTTAAAAAAATTAAAAAACAAAGAAAATTTGGGTCGGCCCGGAGCCCAGCCCACTCAGGCCCGGGCCCAGATGGACATGCCTATCTATGAGAATAATGCAATATGTTTTTTTCTCTTTCAATACGACTTAAATGCATTTTCTTTCTACTCTTGACTTACTAAAAATGATTGGGTTATTTGCATTTCATTGTTTCAAAGTTTAACTCATTTTTAATTTGCCCAAGTTTGTTTTTTTTGACCAAATAAATACTCCAAAATTCAAGAAATTTTAACTGGATACCCTAAAATTTCTTTTTGCCCAAAGACACTCCAAAGTTCAAAACAAAGTTAACTTTTATACCCTAAAGTTCAACGAAATTTTAATTTTGACACCCAAATTTGATTTTTTGTTAATTTTTTTAAAGTTTGGTTACCAAAGTAAAATTTTGATTAAAAATTAGGGGTATCTAAGTTGAAATTTGTTGAACCATCGGGTATCAAAGTTAACAGTGAGATAAGTTGGGGGTATTTTTTTGTGAAAAATAATAATTAGGAGTATCAAAATGAGATTTAAATACATAAAGTAAGCATCAAGAAGTGAGAGAATCAATTTTAGTATGCATGATATGCATTTAAGGAAATTAAGGAAATGGAGAGAAAACATGATGAAAAGAGGGATCATGTCCCATTTGGCAAAGGGTTAAGGAAAAGAGATTAAGGAGAATGATTAACATAGTTAGCCTATCCAATAACCCGAAAGACTAAATTATTAGCCCGTTAAATAAGTTTTACTTTAGCCCTTTGTGATCATTATTAATGTGTGGGAATAACGAGTCAAACGTCGAAAATGGTGTTCTGGGCCCGGACTCTACGTTTTAGACTTGAAACGCAGAGTTGTGCCTGTTTTAGGCTGAAAACGCAGTGTTCGCACAGAGTTGTAAATCTGAAACGCAGAGTTGGGACGCAGAGATGAACTTTGCGTTTTGATTCCACGAACTCTGCGTTTTTAATTGGAGCGCTTGGGATGACCTCTGCGTTTTGACTCTGAAACGTGGGCATGACCTCTGCGTTTTGATGTTGTAACACAGGGATGACCTCTGCGTTTTGATGGTGAAACACAGGGATGACCTCTGCGTTTTGATGTGAAGAGACCAGTAATTTATGGTCTCTTTTGCTAGAGCGTTGCAAAAACCGTTATCTTGTAATCTTCATCTTGACTCCTTGAAAATATGAGAGTCGTCAGATTGTAACCCCCGATGTTGATTGTGAAGGCTGTTGAACTAGTGCTTTCATCGGTTGTTGTGAAGGTCGTCAGATTATAACCTTCATCGATCTACGTGAAAGTCTTCAAATTATAGCTTTCTGAAAGTCGTCAGATTGTAACTTCCATCATCGGTGTTTGATGGGGGATCAGCTATCTGCAGTGATTTTTAGACAACCTACAGTTTGTAATTGTCATTCAATTAATACAAATCTTCTTTAGAGATCAATTTTACATCGTACACTATACATTTAATATTTAATATTATTTAATCATTTAGTATATTTAATGTAATATATTTAGTTTTAAACATTGAATACATTTATTATTTATCATGTCTTAAACATATAAATTTTCTTAAATATTTAATATTTATATAGAATATATCTCTTTTTATTTAAATATTAGTAAGAAATATGGTACACATGTAAATATTAAATGTAAGTAATATTTAAAATTTAACTAACAAAATATTTTTTTAGACATTAAATGTTAAATATCTTAAATAATTATTTTTAGTTATTTAATATATTTTATATTAAATATGTTTAGTTTTAAATACTTTTAATCAGATTCCTTAAATATAGTTAATGAATTAAAATGAAATATTGGTATTATTTAATATTTAATACTATTTAGTCATTTGTAGCTTAAATAATTAGTGATATATTTAGTAGTCTAATATATTTGATATTTAATATATTAATGACTTATGATATTTTAAATATATAAAATAATTTGTTAAATATGAAATATATACCTAATATTTATCTCAATTTATATTTAATATTTGTTTAAATAACCAATAGAAAATTGGTAATATTAAATAATATTTAATATCTTAAATAATAAAAATATTAGATAATTAATAATTTAATATGTTTATTTTATGTTCGGCAAAACTTTTTATTACATTTAGTGTTTATATATTGAAAGCCGCAAATTAATAGTAAAAATTTAATCTTAAATTATAATCATAAATTTTTATTAATTAAATAATAATTATTTTTTAATAAAAAATAGTTATGCTTGTTAATAATTTATTTAGCACCTAGTTCAATAATCCATCCAAAGGTTTAAAATTTTTCCAAAAAATCAAGAACTTTAAATCCTAGAATATATAGGCTTCTCGAACAAAATCCCAAATGGATAACACCCCCTACATACTTTTCAATTATTACTACAGAGGATCCGAATCCGACGTGAAATTAGGCTTAAGAATTACTCCTGCTTTCCGAAATTTAAACCCGGCCCAATTCGCAAGGGGAGGCCGTCATCCAAAAATTTTCAGCCACTCAGAAGCTGTTGAGCTCGACGGAGTTCCCTCCATCCAGACTCCACTCCAGAGAAAACGATAAACCCTCTTTCTCTCAATGCCGATCTCATAAAAATCCAAACCCTAACCCTAAAATTCCATGGCGTCCTGTTTGATTTCCTGCAAATACCCAATCTCTAAACCCTCACTCCTCCGCCCAACTCCCTTCGTCGCCGTTTAATCATTTAGTATATTTAATGTAATATATTTAGTTTTAAACATTGAATACATTTATTATTTATCATGTCTTAAACATATAAATTTTCTTAAATATTTAATATTTATATAGAATATATCTCTTTTTATTTAAATATTAGTAAGAAATATGGTACACATGTAAATATTAAATGTAAGTAATATTTAAAATTTAACTAACAAAATATTTTTTTAGACATTAAATGTTAAATATCTTAAATAATTATTTTTAGTTATTTAATATATTTTATATTAAATATGTTTAGTTTTAAATACTTTTAATCAGATTCCTTAAATATAGTTAATGAATTAAAATGAAATATTGGTATTATTTAATATTTAATACTATTTAGTCATTTGTAGCTTAAATAATTAGTGATATATTTAGTAGTCTAATATATTTGATATTTAATATATTAATGACTTATGATATTTTAAATATATAAAATAATTTGTTAAATATGAAATATATACCTAATATTTATCTCAATTTATATTTAATATTTGTTTAAATAACCAATAGAAAATTGGTAATATTAAATAATATTTAATATCTTAAATAATAAAAATATTAGATAATTAATAATTTAATATGTTTATTTTATGTTCGGCAAAACTTTTTATTACATTTAGTGTTTATATATTGAAAGCCGCAAATTAATAGTAAAAATTTAATCTTAAATTATAATCATAAATTTTTATTAATTAAATAATAATTATTTTTTAATAAAAAATAGTTATGCTTGTTAATAATTTATTTAGCACCTAGTTCAATAATCCATCCAAAGGTTTAAAATTTTTCCAAAAAATCAAGAACTTTAAATCCTAGAATATATAGGCTTCTCGAACAAAATCCCAAATGGATAACACCCCCTACATACTTTTCAATTATTACTACAGAGGATCCGAATCCGACGTGAAATTAGGCTTAAGAATTACTCCTGCTTTCCGAAATTTAAACCCGGCCCAATTCGCAAGGGGAGGCCGTCATCCAAAAATTTTCAGCCACTCAGAAGCTGTTGAGCTCGACGGAGTTCCCTCCATCCAGACTCCACTCCAGAGAAAACGATAAACCCTCTTTCTCTCAATGCCGATCTCATAAAAATCCAAACCCTAACCCTAAAAATCCATGGCGTCCTGTTTGATTTCCTGCAAATACCCAATCTCTAAACCCTCACTCCTCCGCCCAACTCCCTTCGTCGCCGTCCCCCTTCGCCTTCGCACCTCTCAAAGATCTGCGGCCGTTGGGGTTAGGGTTAGGGTTTCGGCTCCGGCGATCAGAGCGAGCGTCGACGTTCCCGCTGGACTCAGGCCTGGGCGAGTTGTGGAGACCGATAAGCTGCCTTCGGGTGTGAGGAATCGAGCGATGGAGGCCGTTGATTCGTACGGAGGCAGGGTTACGATTGGGGATGTGGCGAGTAGAGCTGGGCTTAAATTGAATGAGGCTGAGAGAGCTCTTCAGGCTCTCGCTGCTGACACTGGTGGATTCTTAGAGGTATTTTAATGCGTTTCTTTGTTATTTCGATCATTTTGTTTGATGGGAGGTTAGGTGGTTTCTAGTGGTTAAATACTGGACAAAATGAGAGAGAGTCAGTTGAGATGATTTATTCATGTACAATGAAGACCATTAGCTGCACCAGTTAGAAGAAGCGAGAGAGAGTCAGTTGAGATGATTTATTCATGTACAATGAAGACCATTAGCTGCACCAGTTAGAAGAAGCGATAAGATTATAGTTGATTGCGGAAAAGAATGTACAATGAAGACCATTAGCTGCACCAGTTAGAAGAAGCGATAAGATTATAGTTGATTGCGGAAAAGAAACTAGTGGTAGACCTAAAACAAAGTTGTTGGAAGCAATTAAGAAGGGCAGGATAGTATTTAACTTAACGGAGGATCGGGGATGATACATGATAGAACTGAATGGAAAATTGTTGATTCATGTAGCTAACCTCAAAATGTTGGGAAACAACTCCGTTGGTGTTGCTGTTGTTGCATGGCTATCTATTCAATAATTTGAAGTTTGATTAGCCAAACCCAATAAAAGTTTTTGTGCATGATGCTATAACGTAAATTGAACAGATGTTATCTGCAGGAAACAAGATAACTGATGGCTTTATTTGCCAAGCTTCCTATTTTATAACTTCTGCCAATTATTTCAATGACTTCTCCAATTTCAGTTCAGAATGTTTTGCATTAAATTCGTAAACTTGTGCTACATTTCCTTGACATATGCAACACCTGACGATAAGTTGTCTGTCTTATGACTCTTACCCGCCATGGAAATATGAAATCCACCAGATATTGTATTTATAATTTGGAGAATGTCATGATTCTTCGTGGCATCAATGCATAAGCATTTTCTTGGTTTACCAGCAGTGGTATACTCTTTTTGTTTGAGAATTTTTATCTTAGAAAAGGATCCAGCAACTTGATATGGTCACTGGCCTGACAAGCCAATATACTAATGTTATCTAGTGCATGGTTTGCAAATTTTATTCCACCAGTCTGTATATTTTTCAGTCAACACTGTAAACTAGTTTCTGTTACTTTCTCTTTGGGAATTAACCAATACAAAGGACAAAAAAAGAGAGGAAAGAAGTAGTTACATAACTTGCGTTATTGAAACAGAGTGCAGCATGTTCTCTTTATTTTGCTCTTACAATTTTATGAAAAAGAAACAATGTTGGTGACTTGTAATCAATTTGTTAAACTTAGGACCTCTATTTGTTTAATATGCGTATGATAACAAGTCCTTTATGGCTTACCGGTAAGAGTGATTGGTTCTTCATATTTACTTGTCTTCATAAGGCTATCTATCTGAAGATGATATTGATAGGTTTCAGATGAAGGCGATGTTCTTTATGTTTTCCCAAGGGATTACAGGTCAAAGTTGGCTGGGAAATCTTTTAGAATGAAAGTAGAACCTCTACTCGACAAATTGAAGGTACTCAGGGTCTCATTCTTCTTGTGCTAGGCATTGTCGTTGATGTTACTTGATTATATAATGTATAACTTAGACCAGTATGCAAAAGCTTACCTTTTCAATTTTGTAGGGAGGGGCTGAGTACTTAATCAGGGTCTCCTTTGGGACAGCACTTATTGCTTCAATAGTTATTGTTTACACAACAATCATCGCGCTCGTCTCAAGTAGAAGGTAATATGTGTGCATCTTAATGCTTCTGTTCCTTGTCGCAGCATTTAATGTTTAAAATATACCAAGTGATAAAATTTCGGCAAATGGTATCTTCGTCCCGTTTCATCCTTTCAGCTTCTCCTGAAAACATTTTTCAGTTCAAATTGGTGTTCACAGTCTTACTGGTCGCCTTATGTTGATTATAGTGATGAAGATAATCGAGGAAGACGTGGAGGAAGGTCGTATGACTCTGGTTTTACAGTTTTCTTCAGCCCAACAGACCTATTTTGGTAAGTTAATTATTCTCGTATTCTTTTTTTATCTAGACATCTCCTTTTCTAAGATAACTTTCAGAAGATGTTCTGCATAAGCTCATCTTTTGTAATTATCTGAAACCATGTGGATGTTGTTGCATGATAAGTTTGATTTGATTTTCTAGATTCTTGGCCTACTTATGATGGTGATGCATGTGCAGAGCCATCCTCATAAAATTTGTTCATTGAACCTACACTGACATTATTCGAACTTTTGTGTCCACTAACTTAGGCAGCTTATATTTAACCAGTGTTATCTAATGCGCAACCACCCTGTAGAACTAAAATCTGTATTGTCCGACCCCATTCTGGTGTGTTTCCAGTTGACATCATGCAACTGGTGACCCTACAATCTGCTAACAGTTAACACTTAACAGTCATTCTGGAGATAGTTAGTTCCTAAGGTTGGGTTTGTCATATTCCATTCACTTTGGATGCTAAAATGACCTTGCACAAAGTTTTGCTATTAGATCTGACATTCTGGAGATGGTGAGTTCCTAGGGTTGGATTTGTCATACTCTATTCAGTTTGGATGCTAAAATGACCTTTCACAAAGTACTGCTATTAGATCTGACATTCATGTGGTGGATTCACATTTGATGGAGTAGCATCATCATGGATGGGAGTAAATAGATGCCTCTTGTGAAATAATTTTGTTCCCATAAAATATATTAA